ATATTAATATAAAAATATGAAACAATTTAGAAGAAGTTTGTGCACAAAAGATTGTATAGTGGTTTGGCCAAACTCTATCAGCGTATATTCACTTTTCAGGAATGCAACTCAATTATATTATTCCACCACAAGAATATGCTTAATTTTACGGGGTTTAATAATCTCATTCCCAAACTATGTGAGCCTATGACCCTTAGAATTGCTACGCTCCTAAGTTTCCTCATTGCATACACATACATGTGCCTCAATGACCAATGTGACTATAGTGATGATGCAACACATGTCTCCATTAGTTCAAATACAATAATCAATGTGATTACGTTGATGATATGCTACAACTGTTTCAACTAGTCCACACACCACAACTCAAAATAAAATAAAAAATAATCAAGAATGAGTTTTCACATCCTTCAAAATTTGTTTCCATATACTAAGAGATGTAGCATAGTTCAAATATAGTGTTTGATGTTTTCAGATTTTTTTATACCTTAATATCTCTCATATATACATATGTTATAGTCTTTGAGAATGTCACTAGATAAAGAAACAAGCATTGTCAAAAAAAGTTTAAAACTTTTTATGACTGTCTAAGGGCTCTACATATTTATAGGAAGGGAATAACAAGTGCACAACAAGATCAAATGAGCAGATTTTCATTTCACAGAACAACTTGACATTGTTAAATCTTCTTCTCTATATTGAGTATTAATAAGTCTTCATTATCATGAGTTAATAATTAGTAAATAATATATTCTTAGCCTTAACTCTTGATAAATAGATTTATATTTATGTTAAAGTGTGAAAAGTGATTTTCAGTTGATTAACATGAATTTTTGGGTAATTATGTGATTTTATATGAATTTATATGATTTTTATAGTCTTACTTTTGAGATAAATATAGAAAAAGAAATAAAAAACAAAATATAGCAAAATGGGGGAGACCTGCCGGCCAGCTGGGTCTGCAAGCGGGTCGGAAGCACAGTCGGGGAGGAGTCATGAGCAGGGGTTGAGCGGCAAGGACCGATAGTGGCCCGTGTGCACCACTCCCCTTCCATGTCACCGGTGGCCAGCCGGCTATAGGGCAAGGAGTGGTCATACACACGCGAGAAAAGGACTTGATTGCAAATGTAATATTACTATATATTCGTCAGAAACTTTGGTGCAGAAGCGATGTGGGATTAAACTTGCATCACACCTTCCCTAGAAAGGGCGGGCAACTGGTGCAGTTTGAATCCTCCTAGAGCCAAAACTCATATTTTTTATCTGATTATTGTGACTTTCCTACAGATCATTGGTGAACACAACCTGATTCTATGGAAATGATATAGCAAATGAGCCAAATGATGTAACAAACTATGAATCAAATGATGCTGCATCAGAAACAAATTATAGAGGCTCTTGGGAATAAGAGAGAAGAGAGACAACTACCTAGTCAGCCCGTAGAAAATCCAGGGAACCGCCTAACAATAGGATTTCAGCAAGGGGAGTCTAATAGCATGAATCTAAGAAAAAACCTACGAAATGAAAATGTTAGGACATTGAATACATTAAAGAGTGGTAAGATCTTACCTGATCCTTATCCCCAAATATTAGAAGAAAAGAAAAACGTGGACAGCCCAAAACAAAATCAAATAGGAGTAGAAGAGGATTCTATAGATTCTACTAAGGAAATTTCGAAAGAGAGGACAAACATTCATTTCCTAAAGCTCTAGAGCCTAGACAAAGAAAGAAAAAGGAACACAATAAAGAAATAAAGAAAATTTTACAAGATGTACAAATTAGTCTTCCTTTACTCACTACCATTGAACATATTCCTGAATATGCTAGAGTTTTGAAAGAAATATGTACACCAAAAAAGGCACCTAGAGTAGAAACATTATCTATGCATGCTAGTGCTTTATTATTAAATCAATTACCATATAAATTGAGAGATATGGGTGCCCATTTAATTTTGTGTGATATTGGTGGATCCATTTTTCAGAATGCATTACTTGACACCAATGCTAGTATTAATTTATTACATGCGAGTATTTGTGATAAATTTAATATTTCTAATCTTAAACCTTCTACTATTACCTTACAATTTGTTGATAGATCCATAAAACATCCTAAAAGTATTTTAGAAAATGTGATTGATAGTTAAAGGGTGTAAATTTTCAGTTGATTTTGTAGTGTTGGGAATGAATTTTAATGGACGGTTTTATAATACACCAATCATCCTAGGGAGACCATTTTTGCATACAGCAAAGATGAATATTGATTTTCTCACAGGTATTGTGAAAAATTTATGTGGAGATCAATCAGTAGAAATTAAAATTTTTGAGGTATCAAATGATCTTAAGAAATCCCAAGTATATGATTGTCATACCATAGAACTTCTAGATGATTTTGATGATCCAGATGTTATTGATGATTGTGTGTTGGAAGAATTAGAGGAAATAGAGAATATAAATTTGGGAGAAAAGAAAGGGGAAAATCATCTGAATTTACAGTTGAAACCTCTTCCCTATAGTTTAAAATATATGTTTTTGGAGGAAAATAATTCATTTCCTATTATTATTGCAACTGATTTGAGTGATGAACAAAAAGAAGAATTATTAGATGTACTTCGAAAAAATAAGAAAGCTATGGGCTAGAAAATGGATGATCTAAGGGGCATTGATATGAGTGTATGCATACATAGTGTATATCTAAAAGAGGGGGCTAGAACTAGTAGGAAACCACAACGAAGATTAAATCCTAACATGATGGAAATTGTAAAAAAAATAAAATTAAAGTGGCTGATTGTTGGTATTATTTATCCTATTTCAAATAGCAAATAGATTAGTCCTAAACAAGTGGTGCCAAAAAAATCAGGGATTACTATTATAAAAAACAAAAATGAGGATGAAATACAAACAAGATTAACTACCGATTGGAGGGTTTGCATTGATTATAGAAAATTAAATTCAGTTACTAGAAAAGATCATTTTCCTCTATCATTTACTAATCAAATTCTAGAAAAATTCGCTAGAAAAAACTTTTTTTGTTTTCTAGATGGATACTCTAGTTATAATCACATTTACATAAACCCTTTAGGTCAAGAAAAAACAACTTTCACTTGTCTATTTGGTACTTTTACTTTTAAATGCATGCCTTTTCGTTTGTGTAATGCTCCAGCCACATTTCAAAGATGTATGCTGTCTATTTTTTCTGATATGACTAGAAAATACATGGAAATTTTTATGGACGATTTTTCTATTTTTGGTGAATCATTTGATGAATGCTTAAATCATTTACAGCATGTACTTGAGAAATACATTGAAAAAAAAATAGTTTTGAGTTGAGAGAAATCACATTTTATGGTTAGAGAGGGAGTTGTGTTGGATCATATTGTGAGTGAAAGGGGTTTAGAGGTGGATAGAGCAAAAATCGATAAAATATCTAAAATGAAACCTCCAAATTCAATAAAACAGATTCAATCTTTCTTGGGTCATGCAGGTTATTATAGAAAATTTATTCAAGAGTTTTTGAAAATTTCTAAACCTCTCACCATGTTATTATCTAAAGATGGGCCTTTTAATTTTGATGAGAAATGTTGAGTCTTTTTCTAAAATAAAAAGATTACTTACTGAGGCACTCATTTTACAAGCTCCTGATTGGTCCTTTCCTTTTGAAATAATGTGTGATGTATCGAATTATGCAGTGGGGGCCATTCTGGGAGAAACAAAAGAGTCAAAACCTATAGTAATTTCATTTGCTAATAAAACTGTATCCGATGCTCAATTAAGTTATACCACGACTGAGAAAAAGTTGTTAGCTATAGTATTTTCATTAGAAAGGTTTAGATCATATATTTTGGGAGCTAAAATTATTATTTATACTGATCATGTAGGATTAAAATATTTGTTAAATAAGAAAGATGCAAAGCCACATTTATTAAGATGAATTTTATTGTTGTAGGAATTTGACTTAGAAATAAAAGATAAAAAAGGTTTTGAGAATGTTGTTGCTGACCATCTTTCTAGATTAAGTGATACAGGAATAAATGTAGCACCTTTACAAGACGCATTTCCAGATGAACAATTGATGGCAGCTCAACATCAACCATCACCACGGTATGCACATATTGTTAATTTTCTGGTTTTTGGAAAAATTCTAGAGTATGGGATAAGAATAGAAAACATCATTTCTTTTCTAAGATTAGAAATTATTTTTGGCATGATCCTGATTTATATTACTTGGGCAATGATCAAATTTTAAAGAGATGTGTTCCTGAAGAAGAATATCATAGCATTATTAACATGTGCCGTTCATCTAACTATGGAGGACATTTCTCTAGACGAAAAATAGCTGCAAAAATTTTTCAGCGTGGTTTTTATTGGCCTACAATCATTAGAGATTCTATAGAATTTAGTAGAACATGTATTTCATGCCAATCTATAGGTAACATGAGTAAAAAAGATTAAATGCCCATGAGTAACATGTTAGTAGTCGAAATTTTTGATGTATGAGGAATAGATTTCATGGGTCACTTCCCATCAGCTGAAAAATATGAATATATTTTGCTTGCTGTTGATTATGTGTCGAAGTGGGTGGAAGTTATTCCTACTAGAACTAATGATCATAAAATCGTGATGAAATTTGTGCAGGAAAATATTTTTTCGAGATTTGGATGTCCTAGAGTGATTATTAGTGATGGAGGAACACATTTTACAAATAAACATTTCAAGAAATTGTTAAAAAAGAATGGAGTACACCATAGAGTAGCCACTCCATATCATCCCCAAACAAATGAGTAAGCTGAAGTAGCAAATAGGGAAATTCAGAGAATTTTGAGAAAAATAGTTAGACCAGATAGGAAAGATTGGCCCACAAAATTACAAGATACATTATGGGCTTATAGAATAGCTTATAAAAATCCCATGGGTATGTCCCCATTTCGTCTCATTTTTGGAAAGCCATGTCATCTTCTTGTGGAAACAGAGCATAAAACATAATGGGCTATAAAAATTTGATGTATGGATGAAAAATCAGCTGGTGGGCATAGAATTTTTCAGGTACATGAACTAGAGGAGTTGAGGAATGAAGCTTATGAAAATCATAGAATATATAAAGAAAAAACTAAAACTTTTCATGATAAATATATTAGCAGAAAAATTTTTGATGTTGGACAAAAAGTGTGGTTATATGATTCTAGGCTGAAATTATTCCTAGGAAAATTAAAATCAAAATGGAGAGGGCCTTATGTGGTGGAAGAGACATATGATCATGGGACTGTAATGATTAAAGATCCTAAAAGTGACCATAACTTTAAGGTAAATGGACAGTAGCTTAAACATTACATAGAACATGAATGCCTTGCAGAAAAAGAAATTTTGTTATTAAAAAAAATTTAAGAGTAAGATCAAGGTGTCTAGTTGGAGACATTAAATTCAGCACTACATGGGAGGCAACCCATGGTTTTATTTCATTCTGTTTGATTTTTTAAGCTCTATTTTTCTTAGAATTTTGTAGTACTTGTTTCTGTAGTTGTTTTTTTGGAAAAAGTGCAGGAGGAGCGTAAGATGAGGTGGAAAATTAAAAACGAGGTTGAGGTGATGTCTTTCTGAGCTTTATCATTTATGACAATATTTTTAATGCTTAACTTTGTATATATGCATGCTTCACTTGAAAATTATATTTTCCACATTTTGTTTTGATTTTTCTGTGTCATTGAGGACAATGTCATTTTTAAGTTAGGGGGTGAAGTATTAATTATTAATTTATGTTGTAAGACAATTAAGAACATGTGTTTGCATTTTATTTTTATTTTTTCATGCTCACTTAGAACAGCAACTAAAAAAATAAAATAAAATTCAGAAAAACTACAACATCTATTTTTTGGTTTTCTGTCAAGACCAACAGATTGTCAAAAACAACAGACAAAAAATAGTCTGAAATTTGAAATTCTAGAGACCCTTTTCTCACATTTCAATCCCCTAGACATATATTACTGAAATTCCAAAATTACAACTATAAAGAGAATAGTTTTGATTTATTTTTGACAAATTTATTGTTGCTAAAAATAGAACTTAAAACATAAAATAGAACTGTCAGAACTATTTAATTTACAAATTTCTTACATCATATTGCATGCATGAAAAATTAAATCAATCAGATTGATTGATACCAAAAGATACTAGGAAGATTATTATTGAGTCAAAAGAGTGATCTAGTAGCATGAAATGTTGGAATACTCCTTGGATATATGATAGATGACATGAATTTGATTTTACAGATTTTCTCTTCATGATCTTGATGGATAGTATTTACTTGATGCGAAAATTTGATTAATCATTAGAGTTTAATGGAGATTTTTGCACCCTGATCTATAGGACTTGTGAGGAGAAATCACTTATTTCAGAAAAAAAAGAGAGAGCAATGTGAAAAATCTAGAAATGAAGAGTACACATGGAGGCTGTGAGACATCATTCTCATTGTTGAAAATCGTGCATAGAAAAACAATTGCTGTAAAATAAGTGGATAAAGTGAAAGCTCTGAAAATGAAGAGTACATATGGAGGGTGTGAGACATTATTCTTATTGTCAAAATTTGTCTACAAGAAAAGCTACTTATTTAGTATGTATATATATTAAAAAAAAAAGAAGGAAGAAATATAATATAAACTTCAAAAAATCAAGCCATGGAAAAAAGAAAGTGTAGGATCAATATTATTCTTGGATGAGTATTGATAATTGGAACATCTTGTAAATATATCTATGAGTGAAGAAGTGATAAAGATGTGAATAGAAGAAGTGAAGTCTAGATTGTTATTCCAAGGAGTGCTTAAAGATTTAAGTGCTTGACATCATTCTTAAATACTTGATATAAGAATCTAAAGTGTCTAAAGGTGCATCATTTCTAATTATATAATTTTTTTTATGTATTGAAATATGATTTTTGAGATTCGTAAATTTTTATTTTCGTAATTCCAATGCTAAGGGACTAGCAATGATTTAAGTTGGGGGGTGTGATAAGTTTTCATTATCATGAGTTAATAATTAGTAAATAATATAGTTTTAGCCTTAACTCATGATAAATAGACTTATATTTGTGTTAAAGTGTGAAAAGTTGTTTTCAGTTGATTAAAGTGATTTTTTGGGTAATTATGTGATTTTATACAAATTTATATGATTTTTACAATCTTAATTTTGAGATAAATTATGAAAAAGAAATAAAAATAAAAATATAGCAAATTGGGGGGGACCCACTGGCCAGCCGAGCCCGCAAGCGGATCAGAAGCGCAGTCAAGGAGGAGCCGTGAGCAAAGGCTTGAGCAGCTAGGACCGATAGAGGCACGTGTGTGCCACTCCCCTTCCACATCACCGGTGCCCAGCCGACTGTAGGGTAACGAGTGGTCGTACACGTGTGAGAAAGGGACTTGATTGGGAATGTAATATTACTATATATTCACCAGACACTTTGGCGCACAAACGATGTGAGGCTAAACTTGCATCACACCTTCCCCAAAAAGGGTGGGCAACCGGCGCGGGTTCGAATCCTCACAGAGCCAAAACTCATATTTTTTATCTGATTATTGCAACTTTCTCGCACTAGAGTCACTGAATCATTGGTGAAGGATTGTTAATCTTGTGATTATCTGTAGGAAAGTCGTGATAATCAGATACAAAATATGAATTTTGGCTCTAGGAGGATTCGAACTTGCACCAATTGCCCGCCCTTTCTGGAGAAGGTGACGCGGGTTTAGTCCCACATCGCTTGTGTGCTGAATTTTCTGTAAAGAGTAAGGACAAAAATGAAGAAAAACATATTTCAGGTGAGGAAAAATCAGTTGATTTGGGAGACGTAGGAGACGAAATTAATAAATCTAATCATAATTTTGCAGCCATAGATGTTGATTGTGAGGATGATGATGTATATCATATACCGAAATTAAAAGATAGCTCTTGGGAAGATGAAGAATTTGATGAGTTGAGAAACGAAAAGTTAGAAAAAGAATTGATTCAACTAATGGGGAGAAACGAAAATAATGGATATGAATATAGAGATAATTTTGGAGGAGAAAATTTGAATTTTACTGAATTCATTAGATCTGAGATTAAAGAAGACAATCCTTCCATCCTTCAAAACCCACAGCCCATTAGAACTATTTCTAAGCTTGAAATATTTCACTCCTCCCAAATTGAACAAATATGTATGGAAGATAAAATGGAGTAGGGGAAGATTATGCAGATAAAAGAAGACATTAAGAAATGGATGAATGGAAGAATTAGAGATATCAATTTAGATGAAAAAAATTTAGATTGGGTAAGAGCTAATTTGAAAATTATATGGCCTGATCATATTTTATGGTCTATTAATAGAAAGTATTTATTAATGAATGAGAGCCTTACAAAACAAGATAGAAATGAGGAAAGATTCTTTTCAAAATGGAAATATTAATTTTGAGAAAAGTTTGTTAATTTCCATTTTGGCTGAAAGTATGTCAAGGTATATATATGAAGTACATGAATTTATGCTAAATCTGAAAAAGAATATCATGAAACTTACCTTGGGATACAAATATATTTTGATGGTCATAGATCATCTTATATGATCTATGAGCTGTCCAGTTGAAGACATTAAATTCAGCGCTGCATGGGAGGCAACCCATGGTTTTTATTTCATTTTGTTTGATTTTTTTAAGCTCTATTTTTCTTAGAATTTCGTAGTACTTGTTTCTGTATTTATTTTTTCAAAAAAGTGCAGGAGGAGGAGTGTAAGATGAAGTGGAAAATTAAAAACAAGGTTGAGGTGATGTCTTTCTGAGCTTTATCATTTATGACAATATTTTTAATGCTTAACTTTGCATATATGCATGCTTCACTTGAAAATTATATTTTCTGCATATTCTGTTTCGATTTTTCTGTGTCATTGAGGACAATGTCATTTTTAAGTTGGGGGGTGAAGTATTCATTATTCATTTATACAGTACGATGATTAAGAACATGTGTTTGCATTAGAACAGAAACTGAAAAAATAAAAAATAAAATAAAATTCGGAAAAACTGCAACATCTATTTTCTAGTTTTCTGTTAGGAACAACAGAATTTCCAAAATAGCAGACAAAAAACAGCCTGGAATTTGAAATTCTAGAGACCCTTTTCTCACATTTCAATGCCCTAGACATATATTACTGAAATTCCAAATTACAACTATAAAGAGGGTAGTTTTGATTTATTTTTGACAAATTTATTGTTGCTAAAAATAGAACTGTCAGTACTATCTAATTTACAAATTTCTTACATCATATTGCATGCATGAAAAATAAAATCAATTAGATTGATTGATACCAAAAGATACTAGGAAGATTATTATTGAGTCAAAAGAATGATCTAGTAGCATGAAATGTTGGAATACTCCTTGGATACATGATAGATAACATGGATTTGATTTTACAGATTTTTACTTCATGATCTTGATGGATAGTATTTACTTGATTTGAAAATTTGATTGATCATTTGAGTTTAATAGAGATTTTTGCACCCAGATCTATAGGACTTGTGAGGAGAAATCACTTATTTCGAAAAAAAAAAGAGAGAGAGCAATGTGAAAAATCTAGAAACGAAGAGTACACATGGAGGGTGTGAGACATCATTCTCATTGTCGAAAATCATGTATAGAAAAACACTTGCTGCAAAATAAGTGGATAAAGTGAAAGCCCTGAAAATTAAGAGTACACATGGTGAGACATCATTTTCATTGTCGAAATTTGTCTATAGGAAAAGCTACTTATCCATTGTAAAAGAAGGAAGAAATATAGTGCAAACTTCAAAAATCAAGCCATGGAAAAAAGGAAATGTAGGATCAATACTATTCTTGGATGATTATTGATAATTGGAACATCTTCTAAATATATCTATGAGTGAAGAAGTGATAAAGATGTGAATAGAAGAAGTGAAGTCTAGATTGTTATTCCAAGGAGTGCTTAAATATTTAAGTGCTTGACATCATTCTTAAATACTTGATATAAGAGTCCAAAGTGTCTAAAGGTGCATCATTTCTAATTGTATTTTTTTTATGTATTGAAATATGATGTTTGAGATTTGTAATTTTTTATTTTCGTAATTTCATTGCTAAGGAACTAGCAATGATTTAAGTTGGGGGGTGTGATAAGTCTTCATTATCATGAGTTAATAATTAGTAAATAATATAGTTTTAGCCTTAACTCATGATAAATAGACTTATATTTGTGTTAAAGTGTGAAAAGTTGTTTTCAATTGATTAATGTGAATTTTTGGGTAATTATGTGATTTTATACAAATTTATATGATTTTTACAGTTTTACTTTTGAGATAAATGAAGAACAAGAAATAGAAATAAAAATATTGCAAAATGGGGGGACCCGCCGGCCAGCCGGACCCACGAGCGGGTTGGAAGCGCAGTCAGGAAGTAGCCGCGAGCAAGGGCTCGAGCGGCTTGAACCGATGGAGGCACATGTGCGCCACTCCCCTTCCACATCACCGGTGGCCAGCCGGCTGTGGGGCAAGGAGTGGTCGTACACACGCGCTTGATTGGGAATGTAATATTACTTTATATTCGCCAGAAACTTCGGCGCACAACTGATGTGGGACTAAACCCGCATCACCTTCCCAAGAATGGGCGGGCAACCGACACGAGTTTGAATCCTCCTAGAGCTAAAACACATATTTTTTTATCTGATTATCACAACTTTCATGCAGATCGTCGGTGAAGGATTAAGCAACTAGAATCACTGGATCATCGGTGAAAATCTCATCAACACGATTCGCGAAACATTGTTACTAAAATTACTGAACGATTTGCGATAAAAGGATCGCGAATCCATCGAGTAAAGCATCTTTGATTGATCGACGAACAAGCCGTCGTCAGGAAGAGGACGATTTGCCGGGAGACAAGTAGCCACCTCTTGAGAGCGTACCAGATGCGATGAAGAGCCTCCTCTTGCTGCGCGGACCTGAGGATGAAGCTCCATGACACGCACCCCACCTCCATCCAGCTCCTCTCCGTCGGGTGACAGCCGCCGGAGAGCCACAAAGGTGCCATTTTTCTGCTCCACCGGGTGACAACCGCCGAAGAGCCACAAAGTCGCCGTTTTTCCGCTCCGCCAGGTGACAGCCGCCAAAGAGCCACAAAGTCGCCGTTTTTCTGCTACGCCGGGTGACAGCCGTCAAAGACGATTCGATGACCCATTTCATTGATCTCTAGACTTCGCAAGGAGATCTAGAGATTGCCCACATCGTCCTTGTCCAAGGAGAGCCTTTGAGGCCATGGACACTGCACGACTATCCTCCCGAATGCTCAGGATTCCGGTGCATCGGTGACGCATCACCGCCGCGACGCCGGAACTCTGTTTTCCTGCTTTCAACTTAATTTCCATTTCATTTAGTGATAGTTTGTTGATTTTAAATTTACCTAAATATACTTCATTTCATTACAATTCTTCCGGCTTTTACAGATCTTAATTTGATCAATTAAATCGTCTGTAATTGCTTATGTACGAATCGCCAGGCGGAACTCTATTTCCACCTGATACGCGTTCGCCGGGCGCTAACGTCATCTTGACGTCCACACCCTTATTTCCTTCTTCCGTGAATTTTAAATATATTTCCTTTTCATTTCCTAGTATGAAATTCATAGAAAATAGTATTTTTTGCAGAAAATTCTGAATAATTACCAGATATTATATTGCATCCCTGTGATTGAATTGGAAAATTACCACTATTTTTGGACGTTTTATTGAATTATAATTGATATATTTGTTCAGAAATACTTCTAAATATCCAAAAATTCGTATTTTCTAGTTTTATAAATTTAATATTTGCGTGATTTAATATACAACGACTAAGTCACGTCAATGACTGTTGGCGGGAAGTATGCCTTGGCGCGCCTTTGAATCTTGGCCGTATATATAGCCCATTCTGTCCAATCATCTCTCTCATTCTCTCCCACTCTTTCTCAATCTACCGCTCCTGATAAGTCTTCATTATCATGAGTTAGTAAATAGTAAATAATATAGTTTTAGCCTTAACTCATGATAAATAGACTTATATTTGTGTTAAAGTATGAAAAGTGGTTTTCAGTTGATTAATGTGAATTTTTAGGTAATTATGTGATTTTACATGAATTTATATGATTTTTACAGTCTTACTTTTGAGATAAATAAAGAACAAGAAATAAAAATAAAAATATTATAAAATGGAGGACCCCCCGGCCAGCCGGGCCCGCAAGCAGGTCGGAAGCTCAGTCGGGGACTAGCCGCGAGTAGGGGCTCGAGCGGCTTGGACCGATAGGGGCACGTGTGCGCCACTCCCCTTCCACGCCACTGGTGGCCAGCCGGCTGTGGGGCAAGGAGTGGTCATACACGCGAGAGAAGGGACTTTGCTTAGAAAGCCAACATTACTATATATTCGCCCGAAAAATCGGCACACAACCGATGTGGGACTAAACCCGCATCACACCTTCCTCAGAAGAGGTGGGCGACTGGCGTGGGTTCGAGTCCTTCTAGAGTTAAAATTAATATATTTTTATCTAATTATCGTGACTTTCTTGCAGATCACCAGTGAAGGATTAAGCAACCAGAATTACTGGATCATCGGCGAAAATCTCGTCAACGCGATTCATGGAGCATTGCTACTAAAATTGCTGAACGATTCGTGATAAAAGGATCACAAATCTATCAAGTAAATCATCTCCGATTGATCGACGAACAAGCTGTCGTAAGGAAGAGGACAATCCGCTGGGAGACGAGTCGCCACCTCCTGAGAGCATACTAGATGCGATGAAGAGCCTCCTCTTGTTGCGTGGACCTGAGGATGAAGCTCCCTGACACGTGCCCCACCTCCATCCAGCTCCTCTCCATTAGGTGACAACTGCCGGAGAGCCGCAAAGTCGTTGTTTTTCCGCTCCGCCGGGTGACAGCCGCCAGAGACGACTCGACGACCCATTTCATTAATCTCTAGACTTCGCGAGAAGATCTAGAGATTGCCCATGTCATCTTTGTCCAAGGAGAGCCTTTGAGGCCGTGGACACTGCACGACGATCCTCTTGAACGCTCAAGATTCCGGTGCATCGCCGACGCATGCCGTCACGACGTCGGAACTCTATTTTCCTGCTTTCAACTTAATTTTCATTTCATTTAGTGATAATTTGTTGATTTTAAATTTACAAACATATACTTCATTTCATTACGATTCTTCCGTCTTTTATAGATCTTAATTTGATCAATTAAATTGTCTGTAATCACTTACGTAAGAATCGCCAGACGGAACTATGTTTCCGCCTGATTAGCGTTCGCTGGGCGCTGACGTCATCTTGACGCCCGCACCCTTATTTTCTTTTTTCGTGAATTTTAAATATATTTCCTTTTCATTTCTTAGTATAAAATTCATAGAAAATAGTATTCTTTGAGGAAAATTCTGAATAATTACTAGATATTATATTACATCCCTGTGATCGACCTGGAAAATTACTGCTATTTTTGAAAAGTTTTATTGAATTATAATTGATATATTTGTTCAGAAATACTTCTAAATATCAAAAAATTCGTATTTTCTAGTTTTATAAATTTTATATTTGCGTGATTTAATATACAACGACTAAGTCACGTCAGCTCCCTTGCTCTCGCTCGCTCGTGAGCAGTTAGGAGGAGCTGCGAGTAGGCGCTCGAGCGACTTGAACTGATGGAGGCACGTGTGCGCCACTCCCCTTCCACGTCACCAGTGGCCAGCTGGCTATGGGGCAAAGAGTGGTCGTACACGCGCAAGAAAGGGACTTGATTGCAAATATAATATTACTATATATTCACCAGAAACTTTGGCGCACAAGCGATGTTGAACTAAACTCACATCACACCTTCCATAGAACGGGCGGGCAACTAGTGCAGGTTCGAATCTTCCATGAGCCAAAACTCATATTTTTTATCTGATTATCGCGACTTTTCTGCACAACGTCGGTGAAGGATTAAGCTACTAGAATTGCTAGATCATCGACAAAAACCTCGTCAACACAATTCGCGGAGCATTGTTATTAAAATTGTTGAGCGATTCATGATAAAAGGATCGCAAATTCATTGAGTAAAGCATCTCCAATTGATCGACGAACAAGCCATCATCAGAAAGAGGACGATCCACTAGGAGATGAGTCGCTACCTCCTGAGAGTGTACCGGATGCAATGAAGAGCCTCCTCTTGCTACGCGGACTTGAGGATGAAGCTCCTTGACACGTGCCCCACCTCCATCCAACTCTTCTCCCTCGAGTGACAGCAGCCGAGGAGCTACAAAGTCATCATTTTTCTACTCCGTCAAGTGACAACCGCCAGAGAGATTTGATGACTCATTTAATTGATCTCTAGACTTCGCAAGGAGATCTAGAGATTGCCCATGTCGTCCTTGTCCAAGGAGAGTCTTCAAGGCCTTGGACACTACACGACGATCCTCCCAAACGCTCAGGATTCTGGTGCATCGCTGACGTATTGCCGCCCCAACGCCGGAACTCTATTTTCCTACTTTCAACTTAATTTCTGCTTCATTAGTGATAATTTGTGTCATTTAAATTTATGCTTCATTCAATTATCATTCTTCCGACTTTTACAGATTTTAATTTGATCAATTAAATCATATGTAATTGCTTATGTAAGAATCACTAGGTGGAACTCTGTTTCTACCCGATTCGCATTCGCCGGGCATTGACACCATCTTGACATCCGTACCCTTATTTCCCTTTTTTTGTGAATTTTAAATATATTTAATTTCATTTCCTAGTATAAAATTCATAGAAAATTGTATTCTTTGAAGAAAATTCTGAATAATTACTTGATATTATATTATATCCATGTGATTGATCTGGAAAACTACCACTATTTTTCGAAGTTTTATTAAATTATAATTGATATATTTGTTCAGAAATACTTCTAAATATCTAAAAATTTGTATTTTCTAGTTTTATAAATTTTAACTTTACGTGATTTACTATACAACGACTAAGTCACATCAAATCTTGGCACCGTTGCTGGGGATGTATTACATAATATTTAGTATTTTTCTATTTTTCTCTTAGAGTATACAAAAAAACTAACTTTTATTTTATTTTCTTCTTGCCGATATTTTTTTTTAAAAAAAGAAGGAAACGAAGAGAAACAAGGCAAGGACTGGAGCATACTGAAGGAGGGTAGAAATTACTAAACTTTTTCCCTCAAGTTTATTTATTTTTTATGCATGGTAGAAGATCCTTGCATCCAAGGCTAGAAAATCCTTTCATTCTTTCAGTCAAAACTAAAAATCCGAAAGAAATATTAATTTTGATGGATTTTGAAGGAAGTACAAGTCAAACTGAAAAAAATCCTATGGCCATGAAAAATCATTATATCCCTTATTCATTTCAAAGAGCATCAAAATATTAGAGTCCCATTAGCACCCACTATTCAATTCAAAAGAAATCCAGGAATTTTTCAAATGCTCCTTAATTTTCATGGATTGCCTTTAGAGGAACCTCATCAACACTTAGAAAATTTTCATATGGTCTGTGATTTAGTTAATCTCCCTCAAGTTACACCGGAAATTATTAAGATGAAATTATTTCTTCATACACTTAGAGACAAAGCTAGTCATTGACTATCCACATTAGATAGAGAATTAACTAGCTGGAAGGACATAGAACAGGCTTTTCTTCGAAAATTTTATCCCTTAGGTAAAACTCAAAATATGAGAAAACATATATGGAGTTTTTCTCAAAGACCAAGAGAAACTTTACATGAGACATGGGAAACATTCAAAGATTTACTTAGAAAATGTCTTCATCATGCTATACCCAAGTGGCAGTTCAATAGAATTTTTTATGATGGATTATTAGAACAATATAGAAATATGGTTGATTCTATATGTGGAGGAAATTTTATGGAGAAAATCCCTGATGAGATTTATAGTCTTTATGAAAATTTAAGTGAAAATTTTAAAGATCAAGCCCCTTTTGAATTATATGACAAAGATAAGAAGAGAGGAATTTATGAATTACATCATGATGATGATTCTAAATTAAGAAATGAGGTTAATTAGATTAATAAAAGATTAGAAAATTTTAATTTACTTATTGACAATATTAGAAAGCCTCTTAGCCCTCAATTTAATTCAAATAATACGTCCTATGTATGCTAACAATGATTATTTTGAATTTCAATGCTGTAGTTTAGATCAATCATTTCACCCTATGCAAGAACAAGTACAAGTAGATCATGGTCTTATAATCCTAATTGGAAGAATAATTTTTCATGGAAAGTCCCAAATAATATTCAAAATTCAGAAGCACTTAGACTCAATTCAAACTCGTAATGTTGTCCAAAACAAGAAAACAGATTTCAGAAAAATTAGTCCTCTCAAACCCAACCTGATACTATGGAAATGATGCAGCAAATAAGCCAAATGATGCGACAAACTATGAATCAAATGATGCTGCAGCAGAAACAAATTATAGAGGCTCTTGGGAATAAGAGAGAAAGGGAGAACTACCTAGTCAGCCCATAGAAAACCAAGGAACTGCCTAGCAATAGGATTTCAACAAGGGGAGTCTAGTAGCATGAATCTAGGAAAAAACCCACGAAATGAAAATGTTAGGACAGTGAATGCATTAAGGAGTGGTAAGATCTTACCTGATTCTTATCCCCAAACATTAGAAGAAAAAGAAAACGTGGACAGCCCAAAACAAAATCAAATAGGAGTAGAAGAGGATTTTATACATTCTACAAAGGAAATTTTGAAAGAGAGGACAACCATTCCATTTCCTCAAGCTCTAGAGCCTAGACAAAGAAAGAAAAAGGAACACAATGAAAAAATAAGGAAAATTTTACAAGATGTGCAAATTAGTCTTCCTTTACTCACTGCCATTGAACATATTCCTGAATATGCTAGAGTTTTAAAAGAAATGTGTACACCAAAAAGGGCACCTAGAGTAGAAAAATTATCTATGCATGCTAGTGCATTATTATTAAATCAATTACCATATAAATTGAGAGATACAGGTGCCCCTTTAATTTCGTGTGATATTGGTGGATCCATTTTTCAGAATATATTACTTGACACTGGTACTTGTATTAATTTATTACTTGTAAGTATTTGTGATAAATTTAATATTGCTGATCTTAAACCTTCTACTATTACCTTACAATTTACTGATAGATCCATAAAACATCTTAAAAGTATTTTAAAAAATGTGATAGTGACAGTTAAAGGGTGTAAATTTTCAATTGATTTTGTAGTGCTAGAAATAGATTTTAATGGACAGTTTTATAATACACCAATCATCTTAGGGAGACCATTTTTACATACAACAAAGATGAATATTGATTTTCCCACAAGTATTGTGAATATTTCATGTGGAGATCAATTAGTAGAAATTAAAATTTTTGAGGTATCAAATGATCTTAAGAAATCCCAAGTATATTATTGTCATACCATAGATCTTCTAGATGATTTTGATGATCCAAATTTTATTGATGATTGTGTGCTAGAAGAATTAGAGAAATAGAGAATATAAATTTGGGAGAAAAGAAAGAGGAAGATCATCTGAATTTAGAGTTGAAACCTCTTTCCTCTAGTTTAAAATATATATTTTTGGAGGAAAATAATTCATTTCCTATTATTATTGCAGCTGATTTGAGTGATGAACAGGAAGAAAAATTATTAGATATACTTTGAAAAAATAAGAAGGCTATGGGCTGGAAAATGGATGATCTAAGGGGCATTTATATGAGTGTATGCATACATAGTATATATCTAAAGGAGGGGGCTAGAACTAGCAGGGAACCACAATGAAGATTAAATCCTAACATGATGAAAATTGTAAAAAAAAAAAATATTTAAGTGTCTGGCTACTGATATTATTTATCCTATTTCAGATAGCAAATGGGTTAGTCCTACACAAGTGGTGCCAAAAAAATTAGGGATCGTTGTTATAAAAGATGAAAATGGGGATGAAATACAAACAAGATTAACTACCGGTTGGAGGGTTTGTGTTGATTATATAAAATTAAATTCAGTTACTAGAAAATATCATTTTCCTCTATCATTTACTCATCAAATTCTAGAAAAATTAGTTGGAAAAAACTTTTTTTTTCTAGATGGAAACTCTAGTTATAATCACATTTATATAAACCCTTTAGATCAAGAAAAATAACTTTCACTTGTCCATTTCGTACTTTTGCTTTTAAATGCATGCCTTTTGGTCTGTGTAATGCTCTAGCCACATTTCAAAGATGTATGCTGTCTATTTTTTCTGATGTGACTAGAAAATGCATGGAAATTTTTATGGACGATTTTTCTATTTTTGGTGAATGATCTGATGAATGCTTAAATCATTTACAACATGTACTTGAGAAATGTATAGAGAAAAAATTAGTTTTGAGTTAGGAGAAATCACATTTTATGGTTAGAGAGGGAGTTGTGTTGGGTCATATTGTGAGTGAAAGGGGTTTAGAGGTGGATAGAGCAAAAATTGATATTATATCTAAAATGAAACCTCCAAATTTAGTAAAACAGATTAGATCTTTCTTAGGTCATGCAGGTTATTATAGAAAATTTATTCAAGATTTTTTGAAAATTTCTAAACCTCTTACCATGTTATTATCTAAAGATGTGCCTTTTAATTTTGATGATAAATGTTTTGAGTCTTTTCTGAAATAAAAAGATTACTTACTGAGGCACTCATTTTACAAGCTCCTGATTAGTCCTTTCCTTTTGAAATAATGTGTGATGTATTGAATTATGCAGTGGGGGCCATTCTATGACAAACAAAAGAGTCAAAACTTATAGTAATTTCATATGCTAATAAAACTATATCTGATGCTCAATTAAATTATACCACGACTGAAAAAAAGTTGTTAGCTATAGTATTTTTGTTAGAAAGGTTTAGATCATATATTTTGGGAGCTAAAATTATTATTTATACTGATCATGCAATATTAAAATATTTGTTAAATAAGAAAGATGCAAAGTCACGTTTATTAAGATGAATTTTATTGTTGTAGGAATTTGACTTAGAAATAAAAGATAAAAAAAGTTTTGAGAATGTTGTTGCTGACCATCTTTCTAGATTAAGTGATACAGGAATAAATGCAGCACTTTTACAAGACGCATTTCTAGATGAACAATTGATGGCAGCTCAACATCAACCATCACCATGGTATGCACATATTGTTAACTTTCTGGTTTCTGGAAAAATTTCAGAGTAGTGGGATAAGAACAGAAAACA